AAAACTGTCTCCAGTCCAGGCAAGATGGCTCATGCCTGTAATCCCAACACTCTGGGAGGTCAAAATGGGCAGATCACTTGAGGTTAAGAGTTGGAGACAAGCCCGGCCAACATGGTGAAACACTGTTTCTATTGAAAGTATAAAAATTAGCTAGAGGCTGGACGCAGTGGCTCATGTCGGTAATCCCAGCCTTTTGGAAGGCTGAGCTAGGCGGATTGCCTGAGCTTAGGAGTTGCAGACCAGCCTGGGCAACATGATGAAACCTTGTCTATACTAAAATATGAAAAATTAGCTGGGTGCAGTGGCGTGGGCCTATAGTCCCACCTACTCAGCAACTAGCTTTCTTGGCTCATTACAACCTCTGCCTCCCAGGTTCAAGCAATTCTCCTGTCTCAGCCTCCTAAGCAGCTGAGACTATAGGCACCTGCTACCATGTCCAGCTAATTTTTGTATTTTAGTAGAGATGGGGTTTCACCATATTGGTCAGGCTGGTCTGGAACTCCAGACCTCAGGTGATCCGCCCATCTCAGTCTCCCAAAGTACTGGGATTACAGGCACGATCCACCAAGCCCTGCCAAATCTCTGTTGCTTATAAGCTACGCTGTCTATGGTATTCTGATGTAGCAGCCTGAAGGGTCTAAGACAGCAAAAAAGCCTTCTCACAGAGGTTAACAACAGAGATAAAGAGGCAGACAAGCAAATTAACAAAACAGAGTTTGTGGCCTGTGCCAAGAACAGGGAAGGTGAGTTTACTTGAGACCATTTCATCAACATGTCCACAGCAGGGAAGACACAGTAACAGGAAGACTCCCTATCTCTACTTCCCTCACCCCACAAACATCTGCCCACCAACTACAACCACCCTGCAGTCTGTGTGTGCCCTGCCTGGGCATTGGCAATTGATGGACAGGAGTCAGACTGAGTCTGTGACCTTGAGGACTAGAAGGGCAGCAGAAGCGCCAGACAGGGACACAAGAAATAACAGTACAAGTCATAAACGCCCTAATGCCAATTCCCTGGACACTACAGAAGCCTGGAGGAGGAGCCTCAATTTTTTTTTTTTTTTTTTTGAGACAGGGTCTCTCCCTGTCTCCCAGGCAGGAGTTGCCGTGGCTGCGTTTTTATTTTAGGTGAGATGGAGCCTCACTCTATTGTCCAGGCTGGAGTAGAGCAGTGTGATCTCTGCTCACCACACCCTCTGCCTCCTGAGTTCAAGCAATTATCCTGCCTCAGCCTGCCTAGTAGCCTGGGATTACAGATACATGCCGCCACGCCTGGCTAATTTTAGTATTTTTAGGAGAGATAGGGTTTTACCATGTTGGCTGGGCTGTTCTTGAACTCCTGACCTCAGGTGATCCATGTGCCTCAGCCTCCCAAAGTGCTGGGATTGCAGCCATGAGCCCCTGTGCTCAGCCTTGAATTTAAACTGAATCCAAGAATGCTTCCTGGAATAGGTGATGGATGCCAAAAAGAGTCCCTGGAAGGCACATGTCTTTAAAAGAGGGGCCAGGCTGAGTGGGGTGGCTCATGACTGTAATCCCAGCACTTTGGGAGGCCAAGGTGGGTGGATCACGTGAGGTCAGGAGTTTGAGAGCAGTCCCGCTAACATAGTGAAATCTCACCTCTACTAAAATACAAAAATTGGCCAGGCATGGTCATGTATGCCTGTAATCCCAGCTACTTGGGAAGCTGAGACAGGGGAATCTCTTGAATCTGGGAGGTGGAGGGTGCAGTGAGCTGAGATCGCATCACTGCACCCCAGCCTGGGCAATAGAGCAAGACTCCAAAAAAAAAAAAAAAAAAAAAAAAAAAAAAAAAAAAAAAAAAAAAAAAAAAAAAAAAAAAAAAAAAAAAAAAAAAAAAAAAAGCAGACCATGAGCGGTGGCTCACGCTTATAATCCCAGCACTTTGGGAGGCTGAGGTGGGCAGATCATGAGGTCAGGAGATTGAGACCATCGTGGCCAACATGGTGAAACCCCATCTCAACTAAAATACGAAAAGTTAGCCACATCTGGTGGTGCGTACCTGTAGTCCCAGCTACTCGGGAGGCTGAGGCAGATGAATCTCTTGAACCTGGGAGGTGGAGGTTGGGTGAGCGGAGATCAGGCCAGGAGATTATGCCACTGCACTCCAGCCTGGCAACAGAGCAAGGCTCCGTCTCAAAAACTAAACTAAACTAAACTAAAAACAACAGGTTGAGGAAGCCATCGGAGCATCTTGTCAGCCCGGGGAGACCGCCCCTACCTCTCCCCTCTTCCACTTCCTGTGTCAGCTTCCTCTGAGAAACCTGCTGACACTGTAGCTGGGGTCAGGCCCTCTGGCTCACCACATCCTCACTGGGCTTGGTACCTGGTACCTTCCCTCAAACCAGTCTTTTCTTTTCTTTTTTTATTTTTAGACAGAGTTTCACTCTTGTTGCCCAGGTGGAGAGCAATGGCACGATCTCGGCTCACGGCAACCTCTACCTGCCGGGTTCGAGCAATTCTCCTGCCTCAGCTTCCCGATTAGCTGGGACTACAGGCATGTGCCACTACCCCCAGCTAATTTTTGTATTTTTAGCAGAAACTGAGTTTCTCCATGTTGTCAGGCTGGTCTCGAACTCCCCACCTCAGGTGATCCACCCACCTCAGCCTCCGAAAGTGCGGGGATTACAAGTGTGAGCTACCGTGCCTGGCCCCTCAAAACACTTTTCCTCCCAGCATCCCCACCCACACCCCGTCATCAGGCCTGACCCTGACTTCACCCTTCCCTGGTCTCCAAACAGGGCCAGTCAATCCATAAGCCCCATCTATCCTGCCTCTCCTCATGTCATTCACATCACTGACCACGCTACTGCAGATTACTAGAAAAGTGGCCTGGGCCACAGCGTCCTACTCAGTGGAGCCCACAGCTGATTGGAGATTTGACCTGGGGGGCTAACCAGCATGCACATCACTGATATCTCTCTCTCTCTCTCTCTCTCTCTCTCTCTCTCTCTCAAGACAGAATCTCATTCCATCTCCAGGCGCCAGGCTGGAGTGCAGTGGTGAAATCTCATCTCACTGCAACCTCCGCCTCCTGGGTTCAAGCAATTCTCCAGCCTCAGCCTCCTGAGTAGCTGGGACTCCAGGCGCACACCAACACGCCCAGCTGATTTTTGTATTTTTAGTAGAGACAGGGTTTCACCACGTTGGCCAGGATGGTCTCCATCTCTTGACCTCCTGATCCGCCCGCCTCAGCCTCCAAAAGTGTTGGGATTACAGGCCCGGTTTGCTCTTGTCACCCAGGCTGGAGTGCAGTGATGGCAATCTCAGCTCACTGAAACTTCCGCTTCCTGGTTCAAGCGATTCTCCTGCCTCAGCCTCCCAAGCAGCTAGGATTACAGGTATGCACCAGTATTCCCAGCTAATTTTTTGTGTTTTTAGTAGACACAGGGTGTCACCATAGTGGCAAGGCTAGTCTCAAACTGCTGACTTCAGGTGATCCACCTGCCTCGGCCTCCCAAAGTGTTGTTTACAGGCATGGGCCTAGCCTTTCTTTTTTTTTTTTTTTAATTCTTTTGAGACAGGGTATCACTCTGTTACCCAGGCTGGAGTGTAGTGGCACAATCATGACCCTAGCTCACTGCAGTCTCAACTTCCTAGGCTCAAGCGATCCTCCTGCCTCAGCCCCATACCCACCAAGTAGCTGGGACTACAAGTACATGCCACTACTCCTGGAAAATTTTTGTTATTTTTTGCAGAAATGGGGTTTCATGGCCAGGTGCAGTGGTTCAGGCCTGTAATCCTAGCATTTTGGGAGGGTGATGTGGGTGGATCACCTGAGGTCAGGAGTTTGAGACTGAAAATACAAAAATTAGCCAGGCGTGGTGGCAGGCACCTGTAATCCCAGCTACTCAGGAGGCCAAGGCTGAGGAATCGCTTGAACCTGGGGGGCAGAGGTTGCAGTGAGCTGAGATTGCACCATTGCACTCCAGCCTGGAGGGCAAGAGTGAGACTGT